GCGTCTTCTCACCCGACCTGTTCTACCTATACAGCGAGGCAGTACTGAAAGAATTGGAAACCCTACCGGGATTTAGAGTTAGTGACCATAATCTTAACAACATAAGATACGCAGATGACAGTACTGATAGCAAACACGGAAAATAAATGACAAAATCTCTTACAGAAGGAGATGGAGAGTGTGAAAAAGGGACAAAGCATAAATTACAAGAAAACAGAATGCATGGTCATCAGTAAAAGGATGACCCCGAAATGCGATTTGCAAGTCGGGGAACCTAGAATTAAGCAGACTCGGCAGTTCAAATATCTGGGAAGCATTCTGACAGTGGATAGTAAATACGACACTGGGATCCGAATACGTATTTGGATGGCCAAGAACGCATTCTAAAAGTTGGGCAGAGTATCGCGAAGCAGGAGGATTTCTTTGGTAACAAAGAAAAGATTACTTAGTTGTTACGTGACATCCATCCTCCTTTACGGCAGCGAATACTATTTTCTCAAAGATGAAGAAGAGACTTGAGGCGACGGAGATGTGGTTCTACAGAAGGATGCTAAAGATATCATGGACCGAGCTTTTGAGGAACGATGAGGTCTTAGAGAGAATACAAACAAGGAGGAGGCTTATACTTAACATCAGGAAGAGGCAGCTGAAGTTCCTGGGACATATAATGAGAAAGGAGGGCCTGGAGAATCTGATGCTCACGGGTCGAACAGAGGAAACCCCGCATGACATACCTAGCGGCTTTAAGCAAGTGGATGACAGAACGTTGCCTGGAAAGGTGGCAGAGGGAAGGAGCTTGCTGGGAGCTGCAAGGAATAGAAGAAGGTGGAGGGCCATGATCGCCTACATCCTGAAAGGACACGGCACATAGAAAGAAGAAAGAAATTTAATCACTTGAAATTCAAAGGTAATTATTAGTCCTATTCTACCTTATAATACTACTAATTAAAATACTTAAAGTATTGCTTCTTACTATTTTTACTTGTACTTTTTCAGTGTCCGTCGGCCAAATGTCCGTTCAGCTATATGTCTCTCGGCCAAATGTCCGTTCAGCCAAATTTGTCCCGGCCAAATATCCATTCGATCAAATGTCCGTTCGGCCAAATGTCTCTCGGCTAAATGTCCGTTCGGCCAAATACCCGTCGACCAACTGTCTCTCGGTCAAATGTCCGTCGACCAAATGTCCATCGGCCAAATGTTCACTGGCCAAATGTCCGTACGGCCAAATGTCTCTCGGCCAAATGTCCGGCCACGAAAATATAAAAAAAAAACAATATAATGATCAAAATAACAAATACTTATTTAATAAAAATGCAATATTGTTTATTGCATATCTTTTCTTGAAATTTTTATATTTCATCGATTGGTTTGCGAAATTGAACCAGACGTCGAGTTTGTAAATCTCGACAAAAAATGTTAGCGATAATTTAAACAATACTTAATACTGTGGGGATTTTTAAAAATTCCAGTTTTCAAAATTAAAATTTAAATATCTAAATAAAATTTATTTAATATATAAATTTAAAATTAAAAACGGTTTTTCGTTCTTCATTTCTATCTACCGATTTTATTCTCATTGTGCTGTTATGGTGAAGAAACGGTATGTGAAGAAAATGTATTTTGGCAATAACAACCCCGACCGTGGAGCGATCTAGCAAATGTATGGTTGATTTGTTTCTAACACTATTAAAAAGAAAAGAACATTTTAATTGTTACTCACTATTTATAGAAACGACCAAACGCAAGCTAGTCAATAAAAAAAAATCGCCCAACGGAAATTAACCTCCATTTTTTTTTTCAAATGATTTTACATCAGGGTTGATGGTTAAAGCAATGCATATGTTAAAGTAGAGGATTTTTCAATGCGCTCTCGTAGCTACCGAATATTACACAAACTCGAGGTTTAAACTGGGTTTATCGTTAATACCGTGAAAAAATTGCCCAAGCCCCTTCGGACTTCACCTTTTTGGGTACTGTCTAGAGAGATGGGTATCTGGGGCTTCAGCTAATGTTTTCAAATTTCCTCGAGTGAGCGAACTTCTAAACGAGATAAGTTTAGAAATGCATAAGTAGAGGCTTCAGAATCTTTCCTTTGTAGAAACAATCTGTTATTACAAAGTCATTCAAAATAAAATAAAAAATGTATAAGTATGAGATTTTTAGTCACTGGTATGTAATATAATCATCAAAGCAAGATATCCAAAAACCTCACTTATAAAAAGAACAGGTTTTATTTTACGTTAAACAAATACAACAATATGCGGATGTCCTTCCCTAACGTGGAGATAATGACTGATGGACTTACCCAAATAGCAGAGCACAGGAAAACTAGTTTCTCAGAGATCTGGTTTCATGGCTGCTGTCACAGATCAAGACTGGACTGGAAACACCACACGTGTGTCGCTCGGTGAGGTCTGCTGAAAGAGAGGGCTTCTCCAGGTGCTATGCATTTTGTATGGGCGGCCCGTGGCAGGATCGACCAATGGGAGACAGCCTCGTCGTCACGTGATCTATCTCTCCACGCATGGGTAAAGACACAGCTTTTTTTTTCTGCCCCAACAAAAGTATGATAAAAAGCGTTCTCCTAATGTTCACTTCATGTACTTGTAAAATCTGGAGAGCGCTCGGTGAGCTAAGTGAGATAGAATGACTTCAATCAGTCACTGCTTTAACCGTCGAGTTGTCTGAGTAAAAAAAAATGAGAAGGCGTAGACGAAAAAAGAAACGTTGTCAAAACGTGTGTGTAAAGGTGCCCTATATGCGCGCCTGTTGACTAATACGACTTATAGAAAAGATCTTCTAGTCTTTGAGTTGTCAGAGAGAGAGAGAGAGAGAAAGAAAGAGAGAGAGGGAAACACAGAGAATCCCCTTGTTTTAAAAAGACATTGAGACAGGCAGTAAAAAAAGCCTGAAATTACAAGTATAACCTCGGGAGAATGTGGCTCTTTCGCTCTCTGTATTCCCTCCCATTCTCTCCGCGCTGTTTTGCCCAAATAAATACCGCCACCCTTTCTTTGTCCTGTCAGTATTGATTTAATCTCCCACTGATCGGAGATCACACCGAGAAAGCAGTCTCCTACCATTGGGGATTTATCTTGTAACAAGATTACTACTAGTGTTGCTTACTGAAAAAAGACACATATACACCGATTCGACATGAGCAGACCTCAACGAACCCAATGAAGAAAGAAAAAAGGCAATGCTGCACATATCCAATGATGTTCAATTTTCATTCAGATTTAATCGTATTTGACTAGAAATTCGATTTTCGCGATCTGCAAGTGACCAGGGAGTGACAAGATGATTTTACTCCTTACCTCGACTGCACGGGGAAACCTAACAGCAGCCGCGAGGACATAGACCGTGTCTGTTGGGAGACCAGCAATACCGCCTTGATTCATAATTTCTACAATGAAAAGACAACAGGAACAGTTTTGAGATGACGATTACTTTTTAAGCCCCGTGCTATGTATCAAATAAAAATTTCCCAAACAGTTATATTAAGCTGTAAATTTGCATGCTTAATTCGAAAATAACAAAGAAATTTTGATAACATCTACCGTTTTGGAGTTATCGACAATAAAAGTTCGGATTCATTCGCGTCGCGGCAGCCATTACTGGCGTTGTTTGCATATATTTGCTCCGGAATAGAAATGCACTTGTCTTGATTATTGCGCACGCAATGAGTATTTACTTGCGCAGTAATTGAGGAAGGTGTGTGTGTGTGTGTGTGTATATACTTTGAATATACGATTTTTAGCGCTAGGGGTCGTCGTCAGTGATGTTCTGAATTGGATCATTGGGTAGTTTCGGTTTTTCAAACATCATACTCCCCTCACCAAATCGCCCCCATCAGATCTGATCAGTCTCTGGTGCCCCCCCATCTAAATTAACAGCCTGCAGACACTGATTTATATTAGTCAAACCATAACCCGTTATCACGCATTTGATTGGAAGTTGACCAACAGCCAATCACAATGGTGTGAGCTCTATTTAAGTTATTTACAGGGGATTTTTTTTTATATGGATGCCCCATCATCGGATATCCGGAAAGTAATTATGTGTTTTCCGGTTTTTATTTTTTACTTTTTTTTACTTTTTTTCAAGTTTCATCTCCCCAGCTGATAATTACTGTTAGTAAAGAAACACGATCATATATATATATATATATATATACATATATATATATATATGAATTATTCACACAAAACTAATGCAAAGGTTAATGATTTAAATGGTGAGACATCCATCATCGCAAAAAATTCAAATAGTATACAAAAACCTCCAGATCCGTTATGAATGAATTGATCCTTGTTTATATAAATTTCTGTTTATAAAAAAAAATTTGTTCATCACCATATTTGGTATAAAACACTTTAAAAATTAAAAATCAGCGTTAAAATCAAACTCAATAACGTTTTTCAATTTTTCGGATACAACAACACATATATTTTCGTTCCTCTTAACCAATAAAAAAAAAAAAAAAAAATCTTTTATACAATAGCATTTATATAAACAAGGATCACATTCAAACGGATCTGGATATATTTTTGTTTGCGATGATGGATGTCTCGCCATTTAAATCCCTTTGCATTACTAAGAGAAAAAAACAAAAAACTTTGACAAAAATTTACCAGTAAAAAATTTGTTCATCTATTCTATACCAAACACTGAAAAATGTCTGTTCCAAAACCAATAACTCTTTTTCAATAGGAACAGACAACAACACATATATTTTCGGCTTTATTAGTAAAAAAAAACAAAAACAAAATAATACGGCAGAAACTTTATATAAACAAGGATCAATTCATTCATAACGGATCTGGAGGTTTTTTCAATACTATTTGAATTGTTTGCGATGATGGATGTCTCGCCATTTAAATCATTAACCTTTGCATTAGTTTTGTGAATAATTCATGTATTTGTAAATTGATTGCACGTTTATTATAATATATATATATATATATATATATATATATATATATATATATATATATATATTATTTGGAGAGAGAGAGAGAGAGAAGAGAGAAACTTACCTGCAATCCTTTCACCCCAGATTGCTTTTGCGCATGCGCCCAGAATGCCCTATTTCCTTGTGAATGAAGATAACTGACTTGTATAATGGGAGTTCCGGTGGGTAGTAACTCTCGTCCCCAAATTGACTTAAATGCAGCGGCGAGGAAGCAATAGAGAGAGACGAACGCGAAGGGGAGGACAACGATCACCTCGTAGGAAGCATACGAAGGCACGGTCAATGAGTTAAGCAAGAATGCCAGGGCGATCAATTCAAAAAGAAATGTGACTAAAAACCAAGCCTTACTTATAACTAAAGAAAGTCCAATAAGAAGAAGACCAGTGATCATGTAAGCGATGCTACAAACACTCATGGCCACTGAATTGTCCAACGCCAGAGTCCCTAAACTGCGCGCCGTTCCCAATATAAGCCACATTGTGCCGAACACAATAAAAGCACAACTTTCAAAAGTCAACCCCCGGCCAAAGCAGACACATCCCACCATCATTTGTACCACACCCCCAACAATACTCACCCAAGGGAGTGTAAGGAGTGTAAAGTTAGCAGGTACCCAGAGAATGGAGAGCGAGGCTACAGCATTTACTGCGAAACCGATCGTGTCAAGATTGATGTACTTCGAGTAGCCCATGTCGGAGAAATTAGTCGAGAAGAGTTTGTGGTCAAATTTAGATTTGTTTTTGCCTGCCTGTCGCTTGCCGTATATGAATCGTGCGCACCAAGAGAGACGTATTGTCAAGTACTGTTTGAGCTGAGTACGATCGAAAAGTCGTCGGCCGAGTGGTAACTTGTGACGTGTCTGTTTCAGTCGGCCTGCATGAGCGGCTAGACCGTAGAGAGAGAAAAGAAAACATACACAACCCATGCCACCAAGAAAGTGCCCCTGGATTCCATTAACACAGATCGAAATGGTAAAGACAGCCATAAGGACATTCTGAATGGAATGGAACAGCTCTTGAGTTAGAGCAATTACGCTTGTTAATACAAAGACAACGGCGAAAAAGATATTTACAGTCAACAACGGAAGGTCATAGGCGGCTGAAAAGTAGTTCAATCCAAGATGAAACGCTACAGCACACCAGAAAATTCCGTAAAGGTTAAAGAAAGTTCCATAGTAAGGATCTTTGCGTCGGATAGCGACCAAACCGCAAATTGTTTGGAAAATCCCGGCTGAACCGACCCACATAAAACCATTGCTAGCAATGTTAGTGATACCGGTCACATGACTTGCGAACGCTGTTAACGCAACAGTGTCCATTGCGTAGCCGACTGCCATGTAATCATTTGAATATTTGTTTTCCGTTGGTAGGCGTTTATCTATTTGTTTATAGTTTTTACCTTGCAGCTTGTCCACTAGCATCTTAACCGCCATATAGAGAACCATCACCCCTAACAGAAGATAATAAGACCCGACACTCATTCTGACTGGACGCCATAATGATGCGATCTCAAAAATACAACAAAGGAAGAGAGAGAGAGCGAGGACTGCGGTATGAAATTGTTGGTGTTGCAGACAGACAAATCCAAAGATGAGGAAGATGAAGAAAAAAGCGCCATAACCTGGGAACAGAGCCTCTGAAAGTGGTGCTAGGTCAGGGCCTGTGAGATCTCTGGTTATGTAAAATGTGCCCAGAGCGCCCCACATTGCGCACAAACAAAGAAGCAAAGCTCGAAGAAAAGGATCATTGGCGTCTCCAGATGTAAAACCTGAAAATATAAAATTGATACGGCTTGAAACGAAGGAATATCAAACGGTTGATACAAGTGGAAGTGAACCATTCCAAATAAAAAATAAAATAAAATAAATTGAAATAAAATAAAATAAAATAGATAAAATAAAATAAATTAAAAATAAAATAAAATAAAAATAGATGAAATAAAAATAAAAAATTAAAAAGAAAGATAAAATAAAAATAAATAAAATAAAATTAAAATAAATGAAATAAAAATAAAAGGAAAAGAAAAAATAAAATAAAATAAAAATGAAATAAAAATAAAAAAATAAAATAAAAAATAAAATAAAAAATATGATAAAATAAAATAAAAATGAAATAAAAATAAATAAAATGAAATAAAATAAATAAAATAAAAAATAAAATAAATAAAATAAAATAAAATAAAAATAAAATAAAAATAAATAAAATAAAAATAAAAATAAATAAAATAAAGTAAAAGATAATGAAAAGAAAAATAAATAAAATAAAATAAATAAAAATAAATAAAATAAAATAAGATTTTGAAAGAAAAACGATTTGATCGTTGGTTATAAAATAATTCATTCGAACTGTTTTTCTCAAAGAAGCTGATCATATAAGCGATGCTACAAACAGTTTTTTATATTCATAACCTTTCGGCCGCTGTACCCTTCCGATTTCTTCATGTTTTTTTTTATGGTGTTTTGCACGTTCTGGCCGATTATACCGGATGTCATAGTCTCACAATAGTCTTTTCAATGTTTTCTAGGCTTACTTTTAGGGGACGCACGATCTAGCCGTCTTTATTCCTTAACCAAACAGACTAAGAAAAAAGACTACATTGATGAATAAGAATCGGAAGCAACGCTACAGTCCGTCCCCATTAGCATAAAAAATTCAGAAGATCTGAAGCAGTTCTACCTTTTGAAAAAAAAAAAAAAAAGACCTCACCTAATCTAAACCTCCACTAGATGAGAACCTGGCCAGAAAATGGATTTAGAATATTCCAAAGCGTTGAACATAAAGACAACAAAGATGAGGAAAACAGCCTGAATGGATGTGTATAATAATAATTCCTTATCTTAAAAATATAGAAATTCTACCGTTAAACTTGTCATTCACAAATATCTCTGACTGATGTCAAATCAGTTGGGTTTTCATCCCGACTGAAGAGCTGTGGTACAGAGAAACAGTCTGTCTGTAGATAACAATATATATATATATATATATATATATATATATATATATATATATATATATATCAGTGGCGACTCTAGCCTATTTTTGCTACTCGTGCCCCCCCTCTGTCAACTTCAGTTCCCAACCCGTGGTCCGTGGACCCAAAGTAAGTCATCATAGTTGCTATTGCGTGATTCTCCATTGTATAGCACAGATTGACTAACGTACCTTGCATAATGGTTTTTTTGTAAACAATCAAGATACTATATAATTTGTAGTCTTGTTAATACAGTAGATAAGTTTTTTTCCTTTCAAAAGTATAGAAGAAAAGAGAAGATGTTCATTACTATGACGAGAAAAATATCTTTATTAGAAAAAAGAAATTGATGACAATGACAACTAACCAGGTTAGCAATTAAGTCCACAACTCTCCAGGTCATTTGTCTCATGGAATTATAAAATAATTAAATGATTGATTTTTTATTAGCACTTCACAATCGTTTTTTTTTATTAAGGAATGGTTTATTCGTGAATTTTGAATCATAGAAATCTACGAAAAATACGGTTTGTATGTCATTTTATATTAATATTATTATTTTATATTAATAGTATTTTTCGTAGATTTCTATGATTCAAAATTCACGAAAAAAAACATTCCTCAATAAAAAAAAAAAACAAATTCACTCTTATTCAAAACCTGTTCTTTATTAATTAATTAATGAAACAATAACTTCATCACTGATATTTACAATATAAATAAACGTGGTTATGTTTACAAACATCTATTCGTACTACTACTACTACTACTACTCTATCTCTCTTTCTCTCTCGGTCTCTCTCTCTCTTTCCAAGACAATCATCAGCAGTCACAATGTGCTAATTGTTCTGAGCACGGTATTTCGACTTGATTTTGCCACCATTGGCTACAGCCAAAAGCGAGATTTCTCTAACATTACTTGTTATTATAAGCTTTTCTTGTGCTTGGCACGGATTGCGCGTGTTCAACATTATAGCCGATATTATGGGATGTTCAATAGATCTGACGGTGGCCATCCGTTCAAAACAGCATCGTTGTATTATTCCCAGATATATTTATGAACTTTTGGCTACTTAGTTATCGAAACTTGAATAGATACGTAATTTAATTGAGATCAGCCTAAGTATGTTTGCTTGAAATTAATGGATGATTTTTAATCCATTTTGAATAACATTGACCGAGTTATTGGTCGTGCCGGGCACGAGTAGCACTAGTCCCATCTCCGCCCCTGATATATATATATATATATATATATATATATATATATATATATATATATATATAGAGAGAGAGAGAGAGAGAGAGAGAGTATGACAAAATGTATACACAATTCAGGAAAGGTAAACTTGTAATTTTAACAAATAGCAATAACACTATTTTAGTGTATTACGATATTTTCTCGACAGATAACGTTACAAGAAATTGAAAATGCATGTGCAGTAATCCCACAGAACACTTTGGCTAACGTTGCGCAAACAGACGTTCACCGTAATAATAAATATCTGGAAGCTAAAGGTCACCATTTTGAGCATTTCTTGTGATTTAAGGTAACTTGTATTAATTTCGTGATGTCTGAATCAATTTGGGATTACAATATCATTTTTTTTTAATCATTTTACCCCAAGCATGGCGGAAATGCCACTAGTATGCAAGAGGTTACAGAGAGTGATAGAGAGAGAAAAGACTGGGTATATAGGGGGTCAATGAAAGGATAAAAAGCTGAACTGGGTTCAAAATAGAAGATGGCGATTGACGTTGCATCTAAAATTTTGAAGATTTTAGTTATGAGGGAAGTAAGGAAACGGAAGGGAGTTTAATAAGCGGGAAATGCAAGAAAAGAAACTGCTGGAGCAGAAGTGGCAGTTGCATTTAGCTATTTCGACAGTAAACGGGCGGGACCTAGATGCCAATCTAGTAGCACGCTTAAATTCATGTAGTCCATGAACCAGGAGAAAAAAAAATCTCGTCAGAGGAGTAGCCATGAAAATATTTGTAGAAAAGACAGAGAGAAGCCACGTCACGTCGGTGGGTAAGTGACTGAAATCGAGATGCCTGGTCAGGATCGATTACTTTACAAATCCTTCTTTGTATCGATACAAGTTTTTTTTCCCTTTTCTGAGGTGTGTGTACATTTTTGGATGGCCTCTACGCATATATATATATAACCCATTTCTCATAGCATTTTTTCGGATTACATCTCTATTTTCGTTGTCCTCTTATTACCGTGAAGTAAAAACAAGAACAAAATCTATTTTCATACACGAGGATGTCTGTAGGAACAGACGAAAGCTTGTAAAAAATTAAAAAGACCTTATGCAACTGGAATTTATAAACAGGGATCATATCATTCATATACAGGTTCGGGGTTAATGTATCTTATTTATATTGTTTGCGAGGATGTATTCTCGCCATTTAAATCATTAGCCTCTATATTTGTTTTATTGTATGAATGATTCATGAATTCATATATATATATATATATATATATATATATATATATATATATATATATATATATATAAAACTCAAACACTAATATTCCATAGTTATAATTTATTACATTGGAATCAATGACGATACAATTCATCAGAGCTACAAATTCAAAAAGTATATATATATATATATATATATATATATATATATATATATATATATATATATATATATATGTATATATATATATATATATGAAGAAAAAAGGAAAACTTATCTTAGTCGATACGTTTCGTCCTCAGAGTATCAAGACAAATGCGAGGATTTTATTTTGTAACAAATAGTTATATACAAGCGCAAAAATGGTATTTTTAGGTATAGGGACGCAAGTTATGGAGGACACGAAGTGACACAATTCAATTAACCTAATGCATATTTATGAGCGTCTTTATACCTAAATAGTTTGAAAAAAAATATATAAATACTTGTTACAAAATAAAATCCTCGTATTTGCCATGATACCCCCCCCACACACACCCAGGAAACGAAATCGTCGACTAAGCTAAAAATAGCTTTGTAACACAAAATGTCCGGATTGGTGAATTTGGAAAAATCAAAAGAAATATTGGTGATAATGCGTTTTTAAAATGATAGTTATATATAATGACCAATCTCCGTTTCTCTTCTTCTTAGATTGCATTGGTGAAAAGGATTTTTAATTGCCCAAAACTGGATGGATGATGATGGCGAAACGATTACTTGAAAAGGCAGAATGATTTTAACAGTCATATTGAACCATATTCTATCTCTAATAAATGAACCATATTCTACCTCTAATAAATGAATTCACTTCCTTTGTAAACAATCTAGTTCTTAGATCAGCTATTTTATTTTTTCCAATACTCACCCGACAACAAACCAGATACGGACAAGAGGAGAAAAGCGATTCCGTAGTCGAAGTTGTCAATCTCAAAAGGACCATTGGCCGGAACAAAGTTGCTGATACAGAGAATCACAAACGCCAAAAACGTGATATAGAGACTGGCCACTGTAGCCGAAGAGGCTCGAATAATTCCCATTTTACATTCTTCCGACAAACAGGGACGGCAAGGGGGGTTCTTGCCTCTACGGAGTGGAGAGGGCGCAATCAGTGCCTGAAAGAAAGAAATATAATGAAGATAGTTGCCAGTTAAAACGATTCATTTTTATGTAATATTTCTTTTATCTTAATGTTGATTTTAACACAACTCTCACACATCGTTATTCTACGACTGTTGAATAAAGCAACATACAATGGAAATAAGGAAAATAAAACTTCGACGAGATTTGAACTCGCTTACTTCCGAGTATGTCTTAATATTATAGATAATTACATCTGCTAAACAAAATGGCAGGGTAGTAGCAAGAAGAGAAATAAATAATATAACTATATGGCATATTTGAACAGTGCCTGGCGGCAGAGTCTTTGTAGCCAAAACGAAAACGGTGCTGTTACGAAAAGACATACTTCCAGCAACAAACTTAGGGAAATTGGATAAGGGAATCTGTCTGAATCATTGGGCGAAATGATAAAACCGGATTTTGGATAAGAAATATTTGTGAGTCAGTGATTTGAGAAATCTGTTGAATCATTGGACGAGGTGATAAAACCGGATTTTGGATAAGAAATATTTGTGAGTCAGTGATTTGAGAAATCTGTTGAATCATTGGACGAGGTGATAAAACCGGATTTTGGATAAGAAATATTTGTGAGTCAGTGATTTGAGAAATCTGTTGAATCATTGGACGAGGTGATAAAACCGGATTTTGAATAAGAAATATTTGTGAGTCAGTGAATTGAGGAATTTGTCTGAATCATTGGAGGTGATAAGAACGGATTTTGGATAAGAAATATCTGTGAGTCAGTGAATTGAGAAATTTGTCTGGATCATTTGATAACGGAAACTGTTTGGATCGTCTAAGAATGGAAATTTGTTTGGATCCATGGAAAAGAAATCTGTATGGATCCTTTGACGTTGGAATGTACCAGGATCATCTGGGTGTGGTCAGTGGATGGCGGAATCTGTTTTGATGCTGGTATTTGTTTGGTTTTTAAAATCTTCGAGTATTCACTCTACTTATTTTTAAACCCATCTCCTGGTTTTAGCTCACAACATGAGCTTGCTAGTTTTTTTTAATCATTTCACTCGAAGCAAGGTAATAAAGCCACTAAGACTCTGCAGAGTAATGAGTGTGAAAGAATATGAGAAAAAGCAAAACATTATTATGGAGTGAGAATAACAAAAGAACGGGAACTAAGAAGATAACGACTGGCACTGCATTTAATTTTGTTTCGAAAGCAAATTCCTTGCACAGTTCACAGGGATCAACTGCTGTACTTTTTACCACAACCTGCTAAAATGATATCAACAAAAATTTAAAGAAATAAATATCAAGATTTTTTTAAAGCACCTAATTCAATTAATTGCTGGTATCAGAAGAGTAAAAAAATGGAAAGTTACTTTGAAACGAATTTCTTTATAAAAAATATCTATTTAATGACAAAAGTACGTAGGCGTAGGCTTTTAAAAAAGCTTTATTCAACTGAGAATACAAGGTTCCCGTATAGTGTCTTTTTATAGTCCCAGTAAACAGAAATAGATCTCTCAAAGAGTTGAGTAACAAAACATGGGGAGTCTACTCTTGATTATTCATAACAATGTCTCTCTCTCTCTCTCTTCATATATATATATATATATATATATATATATATATATAGAGAGAAAAGAGAGAGAGAGAGAGAGAGAGAGAGAGTGAGAGAGAATGAGAGAGAGACGGAGATAGATAGATATGTAATGAAAAAAACTACGCGGGTATAGGCTTTAAGGAAGCTTTATTCAACTGAGAATACAAGGTTCCCGTATAGTGCCCTTTTATAGTCCCAGTAAACAGAAATAGTTCTCTCAAAGAGTTGAGTAACAAAGCAAGGGAGACCATTCTTGATTATTTATAACAATCTATCTATCTATCTATCTATCTATCTATATATATATATATATATATATATATATATATATTTAGAGAGAGAGAGAGGGGGGGGAGAGAGAGAGAGAATGAAAGAGAGACGGGGAGAGAGACGGAGAGAGATAGATATGTAATGAAAAAAACTACGCGGGTATAGGCTTTAAGAAAGCTTTATTCAGTTGAGAATACAAGGTTCGCGTATAGTGCTCTTTTATAGTCCCAGTAAACAGAAATAATTCTCTCAAAGATTTCAGTAACAAAACAAGGGGAGACCACTCTTGATTATTCATAACAATCTATATAACAGATTCCCCCCAAATGTGTCCTTGATATTCAGGAGGCGTCACTTGAAGTCAGAACAGCTGCCTGATTGATTACTTGATTGATTAATAATCAAAAGAAAAATGGCTGGACTCAGGTGGGAAAATATTTCTTTACACCCTTGTATGACTTATATTTGTTTAATATATAGATTAAATAAATTAAATTAAAGTTAGCCATTGCATGGATCACTAAGGTTCAAACCTTTATGTTACGATTCATTTATTTTTTAAATCTGAAATATTACAAACATTTTTTCGTAAAATAAATCTATTGAATGCTTTAGTACACATCATTAGTGATGTTTCTAGCCGAGGTTCATTAAGGGTTTCGGGTCTTTCAACATCATATCCCCCTCCGAGTTGACTCAGCCGATACTGATCGGGTATTGACTTATGTAACTTCCGTTAGCTACACTTGTCCAATCCCAGATGATAAAAAATCCCGGATGTTAAAGGTTATTTAGTCTTCCAGAAGATAAATGTTCTTCTTCCTGGAAGTTGGAATATTCAGAGAGAATGTCGTGGTTATTTGTATGTAAACCCGAAACATTCCAAACCAAAAAATAGATTCTAAATCGATTAGTTAAGTACAATTAATTCGAAAATGTTTTATCAGATCATCTATAACTTAAACATCCGGATATTTATCAAGTGGTCAATATATAATCAATATTTTTCTTTCTTTCTTTCTTTCTTTCTTTCTTTCTTTCTTTCTTTCTATTTATTTTCCTTTCTTTCTTTCTTTCTTTCTTTCTTTCTATTTATTTCCCTTTCTTTCTTTCTTTCTTTCTTTCTTTCTATTTATTTCCCTTTCTTTCTTTCTTTCTTTCTTTCTTTCTATTTATTTCCCTTTCTTTCTTTCTTTCTTTCTTTCTATTTATTTCCCTTTCTTTCTTTCTTTCTTTCTTTCTATCTTTCTTTCTTTTTTTTCTTTCTTTCTTTCTATTTATTTCCCTTTCTTTCTTTCTTTTTTCTTTCTTTCTTTCTTTCTTTTCTTTCTTTCTTTCTTTCTTTTCTTCCCTTTCTTTCTTTCTTTCTTTCTTTCTATTTATTTCCCTTTCTTTCTTTCTTTCTTTCTTTCTTTCTTTCTTTCTTTCTTTCCCTTTCTTTCTTTCTTTCTTTCTTTCTTTCTTTCTATTTATTTCCTTTCTTTCTTTCTTTCTTTCTTTCTTTCTTTCTTTCTTTCTTTCTTTCTTTCTTTCTTTCTTTCTTTCTTTCTATTTATTTCCCTTTCTTTCTTTCTTTCTTTCTTTCTTTCTTTCTTTCTTTCTTTCTATTTATTTCCTTTCTTTCTTTCTTTCTTTCTTTCTATTTATTTCCCTTTCTTTCTTTCTTTCTTTCTTTCTTTCTATTTATTTCCCTTTCTTTCTTTCTTTCTTTCTTTCTTTTATTTCCCTTTCTTTCTTTCTTTCTTTCTTTCTTTCTTTCTTTCTTTCTTTCCTTTCTTTCTTTCTTTCTTTCTTTCTTTCTTTCTTTCTATTTATTCCCTTTCTTTCTTTCTATTTATTTCCCTTTCTTTCTTTCTTTCTTTCTATTTATTTCCCTTTCTTTCTTTCTTTCTTTCTTTCTTTCTTTCTATTTATTTCCCTTTCTTTCTTTTATTTCTTTCTTTCTTTCTTTCTTTCTATTTATTTCCCTTTCTTTCTTTCTATTTATTTCCTTTTCTTTCTTTCTTTCTTTCTTTCTTTCTTTCTTTCTTTCTTTCTTTCTATTTATTTCCCTTTCTTTCTTTCTATCTTTCTTTCTTTCTTTCTTTCTTTCCATTTCCTTCGTTTTTTTTTAAAGTATAAGAATGTAAAATTCTTATTCGATTTCTTTCTTTCTTCCTCAGTTTTTAATTCTTTCTATTTATTTCTTTTTTATTCGTATTCTTCTCGTTCTCTTGCCTATTTTTAGGTTTTTTTGTTAAGAACACATCGACATATACTATATTTCTTTCAAGACACTATTTTACCCGAATACACAAAACCCCAATTTTTTTTTTATTGAAACCGAACTTTGAAGAAACGAATAAACAGAAAATTTCATAGAATCTTTTTTTTTTTTTTCAGAAATTAAAACAATCAAATGTCTTTCCTCCCAAAATATCTGATTCGAACTTAAATAACGTTCAATTATAAGTTATTGAAACTTTTTCAATGGACTTTATTTCGTTTAAACGCCACAACGTTTTCGTGAACAGACATTTACTTTCAACTGCTAAACATGGCGTTAAAATGAGAAAGTGGGAAAACTAAATAAGATTTTGCAAATAAAGTCTACAAAGAATTTATGAGTGACTCTTTAACTTATCAAAAACAGTAATAGATGTACTTTCAGAATACATTTATCTCTTTCGGTGATAATGAACAGAATTTTTTAAACGAATGTAGGGAGACTACAGTTGTTTTCTCTTGGGTTGAGCTTGTAGAGGACCGTGTGTGCTTAAGTGTTGTTGAATTAGAAACACACGCATTCATTCCTGCTAGAAAAAGGTCTAGCGAAGAATATGGCGGACTCAAGTTGAGTTCAACCAATTATATAAAGAAAAAACAAAGACCGATATATATATATATATATATATATATATATATATATATATATATATATATAGTCTTAAGGTGTGTGTTTGTAAAGTGTGTGTGTGTGTGTGTGTGTGAACAAATATATATATTAAACGACTGTCGCCTTTACAATGGACATAGATGTTAACATTTGTGTTTTGTATATATACGTATGTATATGTTTGTATTTTGTGTGAAAGTTCACGTGTGTGTGTGTGTGTGTGTGTGAACAAATATATATATTAAACGACAAAATTTACAATGGACAAACATTAACATTTGTGTTTCTGTGTGAACGTAAAGAGCTTGTATTTTGGGTGAATGTTCGTACGTAAGAAATACAAAGGCGTTTTCCACAAAAAAAAAACGAGGCAGAGATCAATTTTAAATGTGTCCTCTGAAATTTATAAAAAATAACGAGAGAAATCGCCCAGAGAGCGCTCCCTAGGGAACAATTAGGGAATTAAGGAGAAGTTAACTCCGACAAGCTCATGGGAGTTCAGCCTCTTTAGAGAGGAGAACTCTTCTGCACATTTTTCCTTTTTGCGAAACGGTTATTACCATCCTAACCACCAGGGCGTACACACACGTGGAAAATGGACAACATGTGCACAGCCTAACGTGGAGGAAAAAAAGGAATTTTGATTTACCTAGCTACGGATGGTCAAAGGCCATAAGTCTGGTATGTTATTTCTTTGTTCGTTGTTCTGTTAAATATTCTCGTCTTTTGGTCAGTATGAACAACAATTTGTTTTGGGACAAGTGTAAATACTTTTAATATGTGCTTCTAAGTTGTATTTTGCCTTATTACATGTTGTTTGTTTGTTGAGGGCTCGTATCTCGTCTTTCTATATTCGCATTCATTGTTAGTATATCAATGGCTGCACTAATGCCAATATTAGTACTCGGTGTACTGGGAGGCTCAAGCATTATTCTTCCAAATACTAAATAGCCGGTAAACTATGGCTGGCTGATAAACAATACGAATACAAGAAATAACAATGGTTCAGTTATAAAAGATATATCGGCTATGATAGATTTTTATCGGTAGAATTTCATCAAAAGCAAATAAAGTAGAAGCCGCTCAAAATTTCGTGATAAATCGAACTTGAACGACTTTATGTTTCGATTAACTGCACAACAGTAAATATCTTGCTTAATTGTCTCAGTTTAAATCTTATAAAAAAAAAAAAAAAAAAAAAAATTACATTAAAATTAAACTTACATGTGAAAATGCCAGTTGTTTGCGTCTGGTGTTGTCAGTTGTTTGGCTTTGAAATGAGCAGATATCTTTGGAAGAGATATCTTATCTACAGTTATTGTCGTTTAGTCTTCCTTTTCTTGAATCTGAAGTTGCGTTTCTTTGAGGTGACATAACTAGGTTCTTAACCCAAACCGGAAGCGATCAGAGGCAAGGCAAGTTCAGTTCGTGCCAATGTCAAATTTGTGTGTCTTATGATGGCAGTCACTTAAGCAAGGCACGCATGGCAAAAGACTTTTCGTGTCAGCCCAGCTTTAGAACGTTTATTTGTTTTCTTTTTCCTTCTCCCTCAGTCAATATAATATTAAACGGGTGCATTTATTTGTGGAATATATATTTTTTTTTTACCTTTGATCTTTCTCCTCCTCCAAGTTTTTATGACACATTGAAGTTTACGCTCCCACTTTTTTTCCTTGTTTTTCATTTTCCTCTTGTAAATGTTTCCATGCCATTTCGGTAGACTTTCGCAGGATTCAGATGTAATTCTGTCAAATTACATTTCTAAGAGCAATTCTCATTTGAGAAGCGAAAGACTTTTCATAATTAGGTGCTGATAAAATATATATATATATATATATATATATATATATATATATGATTTGGCACTCTGTAGATAGATAGATAGATAGATAGATAGATAGATAGATAGATGGATAGATAGATATGAACAGCCTTAGATAGATAGATAGATAGATATGAATAGCCATAGATAGATATGAACAGCCTTAGATAGATAGATAGATAGATAGATAGATATGAATAGCCATAGATATATAGATAGATATGAACAGCCTTAGATAGATAGATAGATAGATAGATAGATATGAACAGCCATAGATAGATAGATATAGATATGAACAGGCATAGATAGATAGATATAGATGAATATGCAACCTTATATAGATAGATAGATAGATAGATATATAGATAGATAGATAGATATGAATAGCCATAGATAGATAGATAGATATGAACAGCCTTAGATAGATAGATAGATAGATAGATAGATAGATAGATAGATAGATAGATATGAACAGCCATAGATAGATAGATATGAACAGCCATAGATAGATAGGTAGATATGAACAGGCATAGATAGATAGATATGAACAACCTTGAATAGATAGATAGATAGATAGATAGATAGATAGATAGATAGATAGATATATGAACAACCTTAGATATAAACAGCCATAGATAGATACGAGGGAGTATTGAAATTTTCTCGGTCTAGCTAAGTTCCAATGATCTTACCAAATGACCATATATATATATATATATATATATATATATATATATATATATATATATATAAATTATACTAATATATAGTCCCGCATTGGTCTTATCAATCACAAATGTGCCTATAATTGACGTGTACAGACATCCTCTTGATCTTCGTTTTGCGAAGCCATGAATGACTAAAATAGTATAAAGTTGAGCTCTGTTATTTTACATCGAGCACCGTTTAATTAGCAACTGTTTATCTCGGGTGGAGTCTGGTAAGTTTTTGTGCGTGTTTCAAGGGGTTCTAATGGTGCTGTGGTCGGATAGGTGCAATGTAAATCGTCTGAATATGTATGTAATCGTGCGACTGATACAATTATTTAAGAATTCGGTTTGAACCGAATTCATAAATAACTACCAGACTCTCTCCGAAACATACTAGTAGAAAATACAAACATAACCTTATCCACGTGTAAAAAAAAAAGGATTAAAAATAATGGAAGCCTTAATAATACAAAAAGAAAAAGCCAACACACAATAATATTAACTACCAACATGGACACAATGTGCTGGCTGTGTTCGGAAAACAAAACACCCCTATAGCTCTAGAAACATACACACAACCCATACAAGTAATTAAAAAGCAAAAATAAAATCATCCTTGATAATGGCTAAAAGTATACCCGAAAGCGCTCGGAATTATAGAACATTTCGACTGTTTTTACACACTCTGTGTCCAAAAAAGAAAACACTTGTAAATACACAAGAAAAATTAAATAAAATGTTTAATCGCAGTACCTTGTCTGTCGAATTTAATGAAACATGTATAAATGAAGGATTGCTGCCTAAATACACCATTTTATATATATATATATATATATATATAATAAAGTTAATTGGTAATTCGTATGAATAATTCCTCGGAGGATATCAATCCCGAGAGTTCAATGTAATAACAGTGCAAGTGATAATTAATTAACAAATCGGAGACTTCAGAAAGCCATGGTAATATTTTATTTCGCAAAATCGATACTTCGATTTCGCTTCGTCAAACCAGGCGATTTCAAAACAATGAATGGATTCAAAAATTCTTACAGGAATCAAACGGAAAACGAAAAACAAGATTAACGGAAGTTATGTTTTAAGAGAGTTCCAAAATGTAGGAAGGGAAGGAGAGAGGTATATGTCTCTGGCAGATGCGATAGTTGTAGCGTTGACCTCTTATTCACCGAGCAAGAATAGAACAAAGAAAACGGAAAAAGAAGGGAACAGGAGAAAGGAAGGGAGAGGGGAACTAGAGAACGGACATAGATCCCTATATCTACATACATACATATTCTTCTATATATACATATAAATATACTTGCACGTATGTGCTTACATCCATATACATATACGCATCTGCACATATATGTTTTCACGTAAATGTGTTCACACATACGTATACACACACACACACACACACACACACACACACACATATACAGACACATATTTATCTATTTGTATTCATAAACACTTATGCAAATATTTGACGAGTACATTCCTGAATAAGTATTTTGATAACATGTAAGATGTCCTCAAATATATTATTAACCGTATGACTGTAAAGAGGCATTTAAGAGTGTTTACCATCAACTGTACCCAGACACATACCCAACGCGTAATCTATGCATCGATTCATGAGAGAATACAGAATATAGCACACGAATACCCACCTGTACCTATCTACACAGACGGGGGCATACATGTTTGCATATACAAAAATATATGTACCAACACAGATACAAAGGCAAAGAAGAACAATAGTATGCTTGTGTATGCACGTACATGAAGAAGAGAGATGTGTGAGCAGTAGAAGCCCAGGTAAGAGGGGTTTTTTTGTAAAGTGAGGTCACAAGTGATGAGGGGAGGGGAATTACATGAAGGATCATAGGTGGAAATTATGACTATGTGATTTATTACCCATTAGTATTTTATGTATACGAAAGGGCAAAACGAAATACATGAATCATATTTTTAAATAAATAATTATATTTAGGCTCTACTTTTGTACCGAGCATTGTTTTTTTTTTAAATAATAACAAAAATATTAAAGAACTTTGGATTATTTACCTAACGAGTTCTTTTCTATTTTCTATATATTTTCACACACACACACACACACACACACACACACACACACACACACACACACACACACACATATATATATATATATATATATATATATATATATATTTAGACATACATAAACCCATATACCTATCCATATACATATGCACAAATACATGTAAAACACCCGAAAACCCAAGTTTGAGTTACTTTTCTTTAGAACTGATGTTATTTTATAAATCTGAAGCGATTCTTATGTCTGCATTTGAAGACAAGCTCGTTTCGTTGATTAAGTAGTTCGTTGGGGTTTTACTGTTTGATTATCAGGATTTTTTCTTTGATGCAGATATCCCATCTCTCCCTGAAGTTGTTGGGGGTTCGGGCCTTACAGATGATCCTTCATTTTAATTGTCGGGTGAAGCCTCCATCAATAAGGTCCCAATAGTGTTTTGACTAGGTTGTCTGCTGACTTAGGCATTCGTTGTTGAAGGAATGTCGTTGGGCCAGTTTTGAAAGCGACCAGTAACCCATTTCCAATCTTCCCTATGCTAAGTCAATCTATGAACTTTTCCACCCACCCTCGTAAGCTTAGTGACTTTGAATAAAGATGCCAATTGTAAAACGATTGTTAACAAGCTATTCTCAAATACCATTGTTCGATCTTTGCTTGATCGCTCACTGTTGTGACCTTATATCAGACCTAATTGCACTTAACAACCGAATCAAAAGAACCATAAGATGATTTGCATCTTTACGGTGACAAGTATCAGAATCTTCAGTCACAGCTTTATACAAAAAAATTCTTGTCGTAATTTTTAAGCTACTATTTCATCTTCTTTTATGTGCCGTGTCGCTTAAGGACGTAGGCGATCATGGCTCTCTACATCTTCTTATTCATTGTAACTGTCTTTTTACAATTTCTCTTATCAGATTTACCCTCGCTATTCTCACTGTTTTAAAAAAAAATCAGCAAAAAGTAAAATAATGGAATATATCGACCATCGTTTATATATTTTTTTTATATATCTTCATATGGAAACTTAACAAATCCCCTTGTTTGCGGGGTGTACGTAAGTTTTAGTGATAAGTTAAGGAACTCACTCCTAAAACATTATCATTATATTATACCATATATTTTTTCGGATTATCATCTTCATTTGTTTTATTTTTCAGACAAAATTTCCGGCGACATATTTTAATGAAGTTTATGTTGTAGCCGGTGCAACCGAATTCTAAAAACTAGAAGAATGGTAAAGAAACTATTGACTTGCGACAATAATAATTTGTCGTATTATTAATGTTGCAAAAGAAACCAGATAACCTAAAGAAATTGCTGAGTTTACTGTCTTTCATGATAAGGAGTTTGTCATCCTGTCAAAAACTGACTTGAAAATCTCGTGGGTAATCTCGCATTCGACGTTAACACACAATATACTGTGTTTTTGTTGTTCAATATTTCTTGAGATTTTTTAAGTCGCAATCCTTCGGTATTTTTTCAGGTCGACCAAGAAGCATTTCCAAAAGAAATGTTATGTTTGATCAGATTAAGTGTATAGTGGCAGAACAAAGAAGAAACAATGAAAGTTTAAAGAAATAAACATTTGTATTGACGTAAAATACAACAAATGATAAATCGGTGTAGATGTCTCTTGTTAAAAAAAAAGAGATAAGTAGAGTTGTAAAAGGCGTCCACTGAGGCATACGGAAGGAGAGGGTGGAGGAGTTGTGACTTATCTTTGGCATGCTGTCTTTTGGAGGTGGGAGATCACTTTCTGATGAAGTCTATTAACCTAGGTCTAGATGTCGTCCAATTCTTTGAAAAAAAAAAGATAAGTGGTGTTGTAAAAGGTGTCCGCTGAGGCATTTAGAAGACGAGGGAGGAGGCGTTGTCACTTACTGGGTAACGGCCTTTGCCGAGGACGCTTTCCGACGAAGTCTGTGAACCAAAATGTTGTCCAACTGCCGAAATATCTCTTTGATAGGCTTTTATATATTTTCTTAGGCTCAAAACAGCTTTTTCAGATTTAATTCTGTTCTTTAATTTTGTTTTCTTTTCAAACTAGAAATGCTTGCTTTTGATTTCTTATTTTTCCTCATTAGCTGAAACTCTTAATAAACACAATATATAGAATGAATATATTGTTATAGATATTAATAGAAAACATTTTAACATTTGCATATGACATCCTAATGACTTCCTTCTGCAAATCAAATATGTATCATAGATTTGTCATATTAAGCGTATGGAGGCACAACAAAGAAGAAACAACGAAGGTTTAAAGAAATAAACAATTGTATTAACATAAATTACAACAAATGTTAAATCGGTGTAGATGTCTCTCGCTGGAAGAAGGAGATAAGTGGAGTTGTAAAAGGCGTCCGCTAAAGTATTACAGAAGGAGAGGGAGGAGGAGTTTGTAACTCACTGAGTGGACGGTCTAGGCGAGATGTCTTTTGGAGATGGGAGATCGCTTTCCGACGAAGTTTGTGAACCTGGATCAGGATGGAAATATTTAAAATGAAAAACTGAAAGAATATCTTCAATAAAAAATAAAAAGGTAAAATATTTTGTTGTTATATCTCTTTATTTGTCCAAACAGCAACATGAAACATAAATACACCATTAATAATAGTAAATTATTATATTGTAGGGAGACCACAGTGTTTTCCCTTCGCATTAGCCCATGAGAGTTGTGGCCCCTTTTAGTGAGTAGAACTCTTCTGCCTTTTTTTGTCGTCACTTCCGTTTTGGGAGGAACGACCTCTTTTCTTTCCTGACCACCAGAACGTCCACACACGTGGAAACTGGTCAACATGGGTATGGCCTAACGCAACAAACTCATTCACTCATCTGTGGACGACCAAAGGCCATGAAATTGGTAGGTGATATCTTTGTACTAATTCTGTTTAACCTCCTCGTTCCTTTGGGACAATATGGACATTTATTTGTTTTGGGACATGTATAAATCTTGTGTATATATTTACGAAGGCTGCTTGCCACATTAAATGTTTCATTGGTTACGCTCGCGTAATTCGTCTTTTCATATTCGCATTTAGTGTTAGTGTATCAATGGCTACACTAATGCTAATATTAGTATCGGTGTGCTACTGAAGGCTAGAACGCGTTATTCTACCTAACATAGAATAATTAGAAAACTCTGTGTGGCAAATACACACCTTATACTAATAATATGAAAATATTCCAGAATCTGTTATTTCTTTCTTGTTGACCTTAAGGGTTGTCTAAATTAAATTTATTTATTTATTTGTGTCCTGGGTCACACCCTGCTAGACGTCTTTATACTTGTCCTTATACTGGCATATGACCGATTTTCATACTTGACGTCCAGTTTCTAAAGTTCATAGAACCTGTTATTAAAATTTTTGAATCCCACCATTGGTCAGGATGACGTCCAACTGCCGAATGTCCCTTTGATGGTCATTTATGTCATTTTTTTTATCTCAAATCGGCTCCGGTTTTTATTTTGTTTCTTTAGACGGGAATGGGTGCTATTGGGCTGAAATTCTGCATTGTATTGCCTATTTTTTTCTTTGGATGTGTGAGTAAAAATGGAGGTATGTGAGGAGCCTTTGCGCAGTTAACGGAATTTTAGTTCTGGCTGTTCGGAGCGTTCACATCCGGCCAGTGGTGGAAATTAATGTAGCGTGAATCAGATCTGGTTTTAGGAAGCAACAAGATTTTGAAAAGTTTCACCACCTCTTGTTTAAGAGAAATCTCCTTAGCACGAGAAGTTGGCTGACTACTATCTACAAGAAAATATTCAAAATAACGTTTTCATTTTTTTTCTCTCTTCGGGAGTTTCTAATAAAATAAATAAAAATGAAAAAGTTATTTTGAATATTTCCTTATTGAAAAAAAAAAAAAAATAATTAGTATATTTGACTATCTTATTTCAGTTCCTTTTTATCGCAACTGACCATCATACTGATATTCTTAGTCATCAGGTTACTTCTTCTGCACCTTACCAGTTAGGCCACGAACACCAAACGGTCACAGAAGCTCAAATCTAAAGCTTTCATAAAATTAATCTGATATTTGAGATTAAAAAAGCAATATAAATACAATAAAAGAAATATTTGTAAAACAAAATTAGTAACTAAAAATTCTTAGTCTAAAAAATTCAAATTATATTAAAAATTACTCCAGTCTGCAAGCACATGTTATAGCAAAACGTGCGCTCAGGAATTTTAAAAATCCTTATGTTCGTGAGATGTTCGTGACAAATAAAAACTATTTATATAGTCTACCTTGCGATTGTTTATGGAATATTGCTGTCATATATGGTCTGGTGCTCCCGCTGTACGTTTCGAGGTACTCGACAAAATCCAGAGAAGAATATGCAATAGCTCCTGATCTGACATCTAGTCTACAATCGCTTTCCCACAGACGTGCCGTGGCCTCCTTCTGTCTCTGAAAAATATCTTCACGGCAACTGTTCCGACGAGCTACTTTCGCTGGTTCCCGGACTGCATGAATTTAAACGAGCTACCAGTCTGGCATCTCAGTCCCACCCTTTCACTGACAAAACGGTTAAAAGTAACTGTCTCTTCTGCTCAAACACCTTCTTCTCCTGCACTTCCCATCTGTGGAACTCCCTTCCCCTTACTTGCTTCCCCGATGACTATAATCTTCAAGTATTCAAGTGTAATGTCAATCGACATCTGACACCCTGAGCTTCTTCCCCGTCCTTCTCTGTAGCCTTTCCTCAAACACGCCTCTTAACTCTTGTTCTCAATCTTCTGTAACACCTTGCATGCTAGTTGCACCCCCCCACCTTGCTTTGGGTGAATTGCCTTAAAAAATACATATGTCATATCTTAGTGTCATAAACTGTATAAATATTTTTAATCTGTCAATAATGAAAATTATAATTCTCTTTTAATTCACTGTTACTCAGAGTAACAACATTAACATGATACACAACAACTATAATATAAAGACCCCCAACGATTGAACCATCGGATGAAGAGGGCTACGCATTATGGACATGCTACAGAAGGCTCCACTCGAAATTTTAACAGAGTCAGTCCGTTGTAGTTGCATAACTGGGTTCTGCATATTGCATTCCATATGTGCCACAAAGGAAGGTCATGAAATCAAGTATGTGGGCAAATTGAGGTCCACCTTAAACAACTCCACGCCATCAGCGCTTTCTTTTACTCTTTCACCGCCAACTAACACTTGCAAAGCCAAACGGCGATAGGGAAAATGGATGACGAAAGCAGGTTTCGGTGAAACTGGGACCTTCTAGACCTGAACCTGCACATCGGCGGCGATTTTAATCATCAATGACATTGTCATTATGGAAGCGATCAGCAAAGAAATTCAATTCTTCGATACCAGATAAAGCCGGCGAATATAAATATATATTTATTTACAATAGGATAATCAACTCTTGAATTGCTTAATATAATCACTCACTGTCAAATAAGTTATTTCAAATATTTATAATAAAAATAGATATTCCGAAATTAACAGAGCGTATGAATTATACAAAGAATTACTGAAAATGTTACCAATAATGTTTGGTTAATATCAATTTTATTGTGAAAACATAGGCTTGAATGATTGATAAAGTCTGACATTGCTACTCGGTGAAAATGTAACAGAAATAAGATGAAAGAAATGCTATATGACAGGTGTAGAATAATTAACGAGTCTTCTGAGAAATTCGAGTCAGTTTTGCAATTATATCAAGATCATTTTTTTGTCTTTTCATAGTTTTTTTTTGGGGGGGGGGTAAGACCTTGATCTATCAATTCTTTGCCATCGAATTCAATATAGAAAAGTATGTGCGTCTAATACACACGAAAAGATACCTTTTTTATACTGAATTTGACTGATATTTCACTAAAATTATGTTTCTTATTTTATACTGTTAATATCTATCTATCTATCTATCTATCTCACTCTGTTCTATATATCTATCTACATATTTATCTCACTCTGGTCTTCTATCTATCTATCTATCTATCTATCTATCTCACTCTGTTCTTCTATATATCTGTCTACATATCTATCTGTTCTATCTATCTATCTATCTCACCTTGTTCTATCTATCTATCTATCTATCTATCTATCTATCTATCTATCTATCTCACTCTGGTCTTCTATCTATCTCACTCTATTCTTCTATCTATCTATCTATCTATCTCTCTGTTCTTCCTATATATCTGTCTACATATCTATCTGTTCTATCTATCTATCTATCTCACCTTGTTCTATCTATCTATCTATCTATCTATCTCACTCTGGTCTTCTATCTATCTCACTCTATTCTTCTATCTATCTATCTATCTCACTCTGTTCTTCTATATATCTGTCTACATATCTATCTGTTCTATCTATCTATCTATCTCACCTTGTTCTATCTATCTATCTATCTATCTCACTCTGGTCTTCTATCTATCTCACTCTATTCTTCTATCTATCTATCTATCTATCTATCTATCTATCTATCTATCTATCTCTGTTCTTATATATCTATCTATCTATCTATCTATCTATCTATCTATCTATCTATCTATCTATCTATCTATCTCTCTTATTATATCTATCTATCTATCTATCTATCTATCTATCTATCTATCTATCTAAACCTGTTCTTCTTTCTTCCTATCTATCTCACTCTTTTCTTCTATCAATCTAACTTTGTTCATATATATATATATATATATATATATATATATATATATATATATATATATATATATATATATATATATTCCATATTAGTTGATTTTAAACAGTGCTCGATAGGATAACCTAGAGCTTTATACATATAAATATAGATAACTAGACTCGTTTCGAAAAACCCTCGAATTTTTGATTTGCTAATAATCAAATCAATCTCGAGGGAAAAAAGGTTTTAAAAAAAGAAAGAGCTACAAACATGGACTTCTGCCGACAAAAAAATCGCACAGATGCAGGTCTGAAGCCCAAAGAAAAAAACCCCGATACGAGTAACAACTAACTAACAAAAGAGCTCAATACAACCGTAGAGCAGACCTAGATACACCTAGTGAGCCAGACAAACCTACCTAGGTTTCACCTAAACGGATCGTCAGGGAAACTTTCCCTGACGATCCGTTTAGGTGAAACCTAGGTAGGTTTGTCTGGCTCACTAAATGTATCTATCTATCTATCTATCTATATATATATATATATATATATATATATATATATATATATATAGATGTGTGTGTGTGTGTGTGTGTGTGTAATACAAATAAAAGTTGTCACTTCGCTGAGTGATGTAATATTCAGCTCCTTTTCTCTTCACTTCTAAAATGTTAACAGTCGTTGTCTTTCGCTCTTACAATTTTGAAAAAAGATAGTCTCGAAACTTTTAGAGAATTCCATTCTTATCTCACTCTCTCTCTTTCTCTACTTCCCTCTCTTTCTCATTGTTTCTCTCACTTCCTCTCTTGTCTTTCCTCTTTCTAGTTGCTTCTCTTTCACTTTCTCTCTCTACTTTTAATCTTTCTCTCTCTCTCTCTCTCTCTCTCTCTCTCTCTGTATCTCTCAACTGCTCTCTTTTCCTTTTTTCTCTCTCTCTTTCACTTTCTACTTCCCACTTCCTCTTTCATTCTCTCACTTTCTGTCTACTTCTCACTTTCTCTTTGTTTCTCACTCTTTCTCTCCCTACCCCCTCTTTCTCTTTATCTTTGTCTCTCTTTCTCTCTCTACTTTTCTCTTTCTTTTGCCTCTTTCTATTTCTATCTTTACTTCTACTTCCTATTTCTTTCTCTTTCCCAACTTCTTTCTTTCTCATTGATTCTCTCCCCCTCTCTCTACTTCTCTATCTCCTTTTGCTTCTTTCTCTCTCTCTCTCTCTCTCTCTTTCTCTACTTCTGTTTTCTTCTATCTCTTTCATCTCTGCTTCTCTCTTTCTCTTTGTTTCCCTCCCTTTCTCTCTCTATTTTCCTTTCCACCCACCCTTTGCTTCTCTCTCTACTACTCTCTCTACTTTTCCCTCTGTCTTTCTCTTTCAGAGCATCTTCCTCATTCGATAACCCCCGTTGCGCGGGCCTGTGTTTTTGTGACTCAACAATAAACATTCAGGCACTCAGCCGCCGGTATTTCTCCATTTTGACACATTTCTTTGTACCTACCTGCATCAATCATCATCTCCCACAGTTACATACTGAGTCCCACAAGCAGTTACACCTCTTTTCCTCTCCTACACACTTTCTAGAGCATTCTCGTTAGCAGCTGTTCACAGCGCATGGAATTCTGGGTATCATGGAGTAAAGTTGAAAAACACCAAACTTATGTGTTTTGGAGGCCCCCGGAATGTAAGTAAAAACACTGCGTTATTTTTTACTTAAATTTTACATTCATATATATATATATATATATATATATATATATATATATATATATATATATATATATATAGTTCTTTCTGTGACAGAATTTCAAAGAAAATTTTTATTGTTTATAAATATGCCTTCCTTTTATGCATTAAAAAGAAAAAAAAAAAAAAAAGATGCCAGATTCCAGGTTCTGATTTTTCCAACAGCCAAACACATTTCTATGAGAAGTATATGTCCAGATTTTCTTCTTTAAGTCAATGCTGTCATGTTTCATGAAATGGCGTCAAACGGAAACCATTCTTGGAAATGATGCCTGAGATGTCGCGGCCTGATTTCTACAATATAATGTTGAGTCGGTTTATCACCAGAGAATTAACGAATAATCGGTTGAAGAAGAAAGATAATAAAAAAAAAATGATCTAAGGAATGTCACCTGCTCGGCCGTTTAGAGTTTGCAGAGCGTAGGACATTTGAGGATGTCGTACAGGTGGAAAGAAGAAGAAGAAAAAAAAAGAAGAAGAAGAAGGTGTGAATTTATCGAGACATTGATGAATGTGTTTACTAATCAGACCTTCTCTTTCCTCTGTCTTCTTCTGTTCCTCTTTGCCGAAATTTGTTGATAACTAAATCTGTACATAACTAAGTGATATTGCTCATCTCTCTCTCCTCCCTCTCTCTCATTTAATCTATCTATCTACACTTACTCATTCGCTCGCTCGCTCGATCTATCTATCTATCTATACTCACTCGCTCTATCTATCTATCTATCTATCTATCTATCTATCTATCTATCTATCTATCTATCTATCTATCTATATTCACTTGCCCTATCGATCTATCTATACTCACTTGCTCTATCTATCTATCTATCTATCTATCTATCTATCTATCTATCTATCTATCTATCTATCTATCTTCACTTGCCATATCGATACTCACTCACTTTATCTATCTATCTATCTATACTCACTTGCCCTGTCTATCTATCTATCTATCTATCTATCCTCACTTGATCTATCTATCTATCTATCTATACTCACTCGCCCTATCTATCTATCTATCTATCTATCTATCTATCTATCTATCTATCTATCTATACTCACTCGCCTTTATCTATCTATCTATCTATCTATCTATCTATCTATCTACACTCACTCTCCCTATCTATCTATCTATCTATCTATCTATCTATCTATCTATCTATGCTCACTCGCCTTATCTAGCTATCCTCACTCGCCTTTATCTATCTATCTACACTCACTCGCCCTATCTATCTATCTATCTATCTATCTATCTATCTATCTATCTATCTATCCTCACTTGCCCTATCTATCTATCTATCTATCTATCTATCTATCTATCCATCATCTATACTCACTTTATATCTATCTATCTATACCACCGCGCCTTTATCTATCTATCTATCTATCCATCCATCCATCTATCCATCTATCTATCTATCCTATCTATCTATCTATCTATCTATCTATCTATCTATCTATCTATCTATCTATCTATCTATCTATGCTCATCTATCTAGCTATCCCCACTCGCCTATCTATCTATCCACACCTCGCCTTCTATCTATCTATCTATCTATCCATCTATCTATCTATCTATCCCCATCTATCTATCTATCTATCTATCTATCTATCTATCTATCTATCTATCTATACTCACTTGCCCCATCTATCTATCTATCTATCTATCTATCTATCTATCTATCTATCTATCTACACTCACTCTCCCTATCTATCTATCTATCTATGCTCATTCATCTATCCTATCTATCATCTATCCTCACTCTCCCATTTATCTATCTATCTACACTCACTCGCCCCATCTATCTATCCTATCTTTATCTATCTATCTATCTATCTATCTATCTATCTATCTATCTACACTCACTCACCCTATCTATCTACCTGTCTGTCTGTCTATCTATCTACATCCCACTCCGATTAACTGGAGACATCTTTTCCCACACTTTCGTGATGGTCGGGGGATAAAGATATTTTACAGATACGCAAAATTCTTTAAAGATTAAATAATATAAATGTAACTTGATTGAAGGAAAACTGTGACAATGGCGATATTTAGTAAGATTAGGTAGATTATGTTGGTCCAGTTAAAGAGTATTTGAATTATCAACCTTTAATGGGGCTCGAACGCTAACGCCGCTAAGGGCGGTGAGCGGGGGGATACCTAACACTTACAACCAGGGAACCGCTCTTGAAATTACTGTTTAGTATGATGCTAAACGCGTTGCACGTGCTCTGAGTCTAATTATGGTAATAGAAAGTACCGGTTTGTTTTTTATGCCTAAGCCTGCCCGACCGCCTGCCTAACTGCCTGTCTGTCTCTTTGGAAATGCGTAAAGGTGGATGGGCAACATCTCACCGGTGCTTATATACGGGATATCCCAAAGTTATTCTAAGAAATTGGCTTTTTTCTTCTTCTTCTTCTCCTGTCCAGATATACGAATGAAGGAAAAGGCAGGGGTTCACTTCAGTCTTGTACAACTGTAAATTGAACAGAATGAATGTCAAACATTCATTTTGGAGGAAAATGGTGCTTTGAGCTTCTTTTTTTTAAAAAAAAAAAATCAGAATGCCAGGATTTCTTGAAGAATTAGCTATATAAACTCTTTGTGTTTCTTTTTGCCGGATTTAACTTAATTAATTTAATTTGGATGAACTCTTTTAAAATTAGGGATGATCACAAATATTTTTATAAAGAAAAGTCCCTAAAGATATTATTTCAGTAAAAAAAAAAAAAATATTTGCAGCATCAACTGTGAATATCTTGAAAATTTATTCTTAAATCTTGCAAAAATAATTAAATAAACCTCAAAAAATATTTTTGTGGAGAGTTGGTACTTCCTTAATTTATTTTCTTTCAGATTTGACAAAGAAAAATCTAGTCGATTGTTAAACAGTCATTTAACTTAATAACTGAATTCACCTATATAGTGAAAATCCGCGTAAATAGCGAAAAATGGTGATTTTTTTAGTTGTTTTTCTTATTTTTCGTTGATCTTTCAACCAATTTTCATCAAACTTAACAATTGTTTTATAAATGTATACTCTTTTACTTCCATAGGAGCACACTGACAAATTGAATTTCAATAACTTCAATTGAATTAATAGACTACTTCTGTTATATCAGTAACTGCATAAAGTCAAAATGTTTTTTAATGAAAATACTTTAAAGTAATTGAAGATAGACACTGTTACATCTAAACCTGATGATGTTTTACTCTACTACATTCTAATTGAACGCTTTATCTGATCGACTAGCTGGGTATGGCTGCTAGTATATATATATATATATATATATATATATATATATATATATATATATATATATATATATAATAAACTACTTTAAGCTAGCTGCTTCGGAGGGCTTTTTTTTTTTGGGCCTTTTTATCTTCAACGTCCTATCTACGTAAAAGTTATAAGAATTTAGAAATAATAAGATTATTTAATATTTATTCAACAACTAAATTCGGCATAATCTTTCTTCGTATACGCAACCGATCTCCCTAGTTTGTTTACATTTATTTTACGCGCAATTTTTTTCTTTACTTTTAAAATCACCATTCTTTATGGTCCCTTCACAAATTCACTCTTAAAAGACATTAGAGAATACAAACTATGTAATATTTCGAATACATCAAGGTACGCGTGTCAGGAAAAAAAACACAAGCAACGTACCGTGCCACGTTTAAGTTTTAATTACAGTTTTAATTAAAGCGATATCAAAAGCAATTGCGGTGAAATTAAAATTAAACCTTTAATAAAGAACTGTTTTTTAAAACCTTCCCCTCTGTTCGATATTTAAATTTAACTTTAAATGAATTACTTATTTAATTTTTAATCGGGTGTAACTACAGTAGTTGCTACTTCCTACTTCGGGTTGTATATGATTCGACGAGATCGAAAAACAGACGGACGCCGGACACACATACACTGCGAGATATATATATATATATATATATATATATATATATATATATATATATATATATAATTTAACGCTTGAAAAATAATATTTCAGCTGAGAACCGTTGAGTGACAAGCTAATTCTATAAACAACAGCCACCTGCGCTAATGCAAAGCTCTTCAGTAAAATGAATGGAGCACTCCGGCTGATTGGTATTTGTTTACATTCGTAAAAACAATACGCTAGATTTAGCTGCTCCACTCTGCCGAATGAAGATAGCTCAGTGTTAGAAACTCTGACTGACACCGAACTGGTTAGGTTTCAATCCTGGCTTGATGTAATCGGATGTCTAGTCTCACTGAGGAGCTGCGAAACAGTACTGTCTACGAATGGCGTGTGTGTGTGTGCGTGTGTATAGGCAGCAAATGTTCTTTTAATACTTTCTATCTCTGACTATGATTTTACTGAAAACCAAAAAGAACTACTCAACCTCGGACCTAACTGCCATATATACCAAAAATATAATGGACTACATAAAAAAGCTGAGGTTGAAAATACCAAAATATATTTAAACTCCAGGAACGGCAGCTAATTACCAAAGAACCACAAATCCTTGATCTACTCAAGCCTGAATCTATAAAAGACAGACATGTAAAAGAATTACGCAGCCATCCTGAAGTAGTTACTTAGAAAATTGATAAACCAAACATCTTTGTTGTTTTAAGCAAGTTCGACTACAACTAAAAAATGGAGCAGTTACTTGACAATCACACCAAATTTAGAAAATTTACTAATAATCCTACAACTCAGCTAAAAGTGAAAATTAATAAATTAATCCCAGCTAAGAATGCGGAAAAAGACAATCTAAGACTTACCAAAATAATCGGAAACATTTATGGTTCTATCAAAACGAACAAATCTAACATTACACTCCGCCTTATTATGTCCATTATATTATTATTCCACTAAAATGTTTAACCAATTAAGTATACTATACATACCTAACAAATACAGCATTAAATCAACCCTATAACTTATACAATATATATATATATATATATATATATATATATATATATATATATATATATATATATATGATAGAAATTAAGGAGGTTTTGAGATAATTAAGTAATTCATCGAGTCTAGAAGAAATCTCAACATAATGCAGAAATCACTGGACGGCTGTTTCGTCCTATATTTGGGACTCATCAGCAGTGTGCATCCACTACCGAGAATTGAAACCATGACAGCTACATTGACGGGCTTCGGTGACGAAGAGGTAACGAACTAGATATATATATATATATATATATATATATATATATATATATATATATATATATATATATATATATATATATAAAGAAATATAGTCTTAAGGTGTGCTATATTTATGGGATAAAGTGCTCAATATTAGAGATAGAGCGTGTGTAAATATAAAAGTGAACATAAAAGTCAACACTTAGAGGCGACAGTCTGTTTCATGCTATATGCAATCGTCAGGCCACGTGTGCTATATATATATATATATATATATATATATATATATATATTCAGTTATCAACCGTATTCGAAAATTAAGAACATCACTACCACACACTGAACATATACAGAATGCACACACTCTACTAAGCTGATAATCGAATCATCCTTGATAATGGCTAAAGGTATAGCCGAAAGCGCTCGGAAATATAAAACATTTGGACAGTTCTTACACACCCTTTGTCCAGAAAAGAAAGCTCTTGTCAGAACACAAGAAAAATTAAATAAAAAGCTCAACTGTAGTACCTTGTCTGTCGTTTTTAATAATGTATATATATATATATATATATATATATATATATATATATATATATATATATATATTAAAAAAAAAAACTCTCCAGAATTAGCATGAGATAGACTTGACAAAAGGGTGAAAAAGAAAAGGAAAAATGCGCTCTTGAAAAAAGAATGGAATCAGTTATCAACCTTATACTTTGATAAGCTTTTGCAACGAATGCCAAAATTTTGTACAGCAGTATTCAAGGTTACAGGAGGATATTTTGAAGAGAGCAAAATTTAATCATAAAAAAAACATCTTTTTGTCATAAAAAAATCATGTTTCACTTCTTTTTTTTTTTTAACCATGTATAATATTTTTCTCTTATTCAAAGTAAAAAAAACTACTTCTTGGGCCAATTTAATGTGTTTATATATATATATATATATATATATATATATATATATATGTGTGTGTGTGTGTGTGTGTGTGTGTGTGTGTGTGTGTGTGTGCGTGCGTGCGTGCGTGCGTGCGAAAGAAAGAAAGAGAGATGCGAAAGACGAAAATAAGTAAATATTTAACTAAATAAATTAACAAACTGACTTCGAGCCGATAATCAAATGTCTGGCGTGTAGTAATTAACTAATTCTAGGTTCGTCTATAGTTAAAGGCAATAGTAGTGGGCGCTCAAAATGATTCTAATTCATTACAGTACACTATCAAATTGCGCTGCTTATTGGCCACCATACTCCGGTAGGCACCGACTTCCGTTTTGATTCCATTTATTATTTGTTTGTTTTTTTTACAAAGTTTTTATAAAACTTACGGGGGACTATAACCATGCCCAATAATTCTGCGGTGCCAGGAAAATTCGGTAATTTTGACAAAGCAGGAAAATTTAGTAAGGACTTAATAAAAGTCGATTGAAAATTGATTTGTGGGTCGTTCTAAAGTGTGGATTTGGGGGCTAAGCCGCTCTACCCTATATTTTTTAAGTTGTATAGTTTTTGCTTCTTTAAAAAGAAAATACCTATCTAAAATTTAATTTATTTACTTTTTTTTTATTACAATAATAATTTGAATAGCAGACGCAAGAACTTAACTTCCATTTTCTTGAAAACAATAGAATATAGTAAATAAAAATACTTATTTAAAAAATGTAGTTATTGTTGGTATTTTTATATAATAAAATGTATTGCTGGTATTTTTACTGTCAAAAATGTATTTTTATACTTCCGTAGTGTTTTAACTC